AATTAAATAAATGTGTTACTGCCAATGACTAAGTTATATTCAGACGAGAGATTTTCAAAAATTATTCTAGTTGTGTAATAAATTGAACTCATACTCGAGAAATCCTTTGAGGAGGGGGGAAGATTTAATATTTAAAATTTTGTTGTTTTTTTCGTTAAATACGTGTAGTAAAATGAGGTTGAAAATGGCAATGTAAATTAATAAACCCTTTTTATCTTTTCTACTTCAAAAAGAAATACGAATTCATTTTTGATGGGCCTTTTTTTTAAAACCATTTTTTGTGCAATCTAAAGAAACAGAAACATATCTCTTCATCATGGGGAGCTTTCTTTCTATCACTCAGTAAGGCGAGATACGGTAAGAAATATTAAAAATGGGAAACAAGCCGGCGCCAATTTCTCTTAGGGACTTTATGCCTCCCCCCCCCCTTCGCACGTCGAAGCTGAATGAATGTAGCAGTCACATTTATACAGTCACAGTCTCCATCCACTTATATTTGTATTCAGTACAAGTGTTTGTGTGTGTGTGTGTGTGTTTATTTAGGAAAAGGAAAGTTATCTGAGATGTGAAAGTCGAAATGGTGATAGTATGTTGACACAAGGTAATTTGCCACACATTAAAAATAAAGGGTCTTCTTCTCACAGACAAGACAACGCACCAGCCACCCAGTAAAATAAAATAACACGGCGAGGGGAAAGAAAAACAAAGAGTAAAAACTAAATATTTTGTTTTCTGTTTTTCTGTAAGCTATTATCTTTTGTAAAAGTTGATATTAGCGAGTATTCCAGCTGAAATGTTGCCTAAGTTAATGGACGCACTTCAGTTGAATTACAGATAAATCAACAATTCCAATAGATGATAATAATACACAGCCCCGGTCAGAGTCCTTTTTTTTTTTTTTTTTAAATTTAATTCCAAATAACACACTTTCATTTGAGGAAACGAAACACTGTAAGAAAACGAGCAATAATTTTTTTTTTAATTACTTTAATTTTGTATCTTTTCTGTTGTTAATTCACCCCAATATTGTAGTCTTATCGCAAATTAATTCACCCCAAGAAATTATAAATTTTAAATCCAAGTTTGTTTTTTATTAAAAATGTTTGGCACTCTTTGAAATTATAAATCAAAATTTGTTTAGCTTGCCTCGCAAAAACTCCACCCCTCAGAATGAAAAATTGCCAAAAATCAGAGAGTTATTCACACATTTCGTAAGTGTGGATGATATTCGAGGTACTTACAAGGATTTTTTTTTTTTTTTTTTACAATTAAAAAAAATAAAATGTTTTTCGTTTGGATTGGTGAGCGTGAACAGTGACCCCAAATTAAAAATAGCGCACCCAAGTCACCCACATTTGCAGCGATGGCAAATGTCAACCCAACAGGAGTGCAATGGAAGGGCCGCGCTCTGGAAAAATTTTGTATGAATTTTATTTTTATTAAATATAAAAAATACTTTTTTGGGTGTGAACTGTGAATTAATATTTTAGGGCGAATTAATAAGATCCTGAATTTTTTTTTAAACTAAAGCGTCGATCATTTTTTCATGCCATAAAAAAATGAAAAAGTAAAACGGTTTGTACAATGAAATTTGTAACACTAAAAGATGCCAACCATTTTAAAATAAAATAGCAAACAAAATGAGATTAATTTATAAGTAAAGAATTTTTTTTTCAGTGATTTTGCTGTTCAGCGTTAGAAATTCTCATAGGACCATTGGTCAATTACAACTCAGAAGAAAAAAAATCCAAAAGTGAAATATAAGAATTTTTTTTAACAACAGATATGGAAAAGTAATGGATAGTGCCTGGGATTGCAAAATCAGAGAGCCAAGTTCATAACATTCACTTATCCTCTATAATGAAGCCATCTCTTCTTCCCCCAGTAATTGGCAACTCATCTGGAAGAAAAATCTATGCTAACAGTCTATTTCTTTTCTCGCACTTCTCGTCTGTGGAACTCCATTCTGGCTCCATGCTTTCCAAAGCTTTTAAACTTCAAAAATTTAAATGCAATGCCAATCGCTATCTACTGTCCTGATTACTCTTTTTGATCCCACTCATTAGTAATGTTTCTGTTTCTAATTCTTCCACACCCTGTAAACACTTGCGTCTTAGTGGCTTTACTGCCTCGGGAATTTGAATTTGAAATTCATGTGAGTCTATTTTTGTACAAAATTGAGGTGATGCCTGTGTGATCCTAATTTTGAACAGAATTGTGATTTTAGTGATACAGATTGCGAATCCTTTATCCAAAAGTTTTGGGACCAGAAGTGGTTCGTTTTACAGATTTTTTTCGAATTTTCGAATACCCACTATTTAATTTGTATATAGCATCTATAAAATAGAATAGGTTCAGAATGGAACCCAAGCATAAACACAATATCCCTTTACATTTCATAACACAGCTTATGCATATACCTTGAAAGTAGTTTTATATAAAATTTAATAAATTTTGTGTGTATACATATAATGATGCTAGTCATGTCATGCTCACATGGATTTTTAAGTGGGGAAATTAGGATCTTGTGTAAAAATAATATTCTATGCTTTCTGTCAGTCAGTTACGAGTCATACGTGATACATGTTTAGGCAATCATGTATCTTTCAATACGTGACTGACGAGGCAGATTTTTTTCCTGTAGTAGGTTGCCATTTCTTTCTACAATAGACTAGTTGCCATCCAAGGCTATAGAACCCGGTCTGTCCTGCTATTTACAATAGCTGGGAGGGGGGGAGAAGAAGAGGATTCATACCTTTCCCAAGGGTATTAGCACATATATGAATGTAATAGATTCGACTGGAATTCGAACTCAGTTCTCCAATTCCTGAGCCCCTATCCATTACCCCACATGTGTACAAAAAAAACATGATCACTACTTACAAGGATATCTAAATGCAAACCCCAAACACTACTACATCAGGTGTGAGAAACTGGTCGGAGAGGGTATATTGTCAATGATGTCATTGTGAGTGTGAGAAGGAAATTTTCCATTTGTAGCAAGTCATGTCGGCACCTGATAATTTTCAGATTTTGGAGGTTTTGGAATTTCGGATAATGGATACACAACCTGAACTATTTAAATCTATTGAATTTTGTTTCTACCATTTTTAACAAGGTTCCACACACTTATCAGACAAGGTGTCATAATGGCTAAATTAGGATTTGCATATTTGTATTCCACCATCTCTTTGTTGGCTTCATGCTCTCTCACTTAATGAAATAAAAAAATAAATTATTTTCATGAGAGCTCAGTATTTCAGCATTATCATCAATGGTGGACTGGCTACAGTGTCAGCTTGCAAGTGGGCCCCCTATATCAAATAAAAATGCTATAAAGAAACAAACACAAATAGCTGTTTTAGTAATAAAAAGAAATAAGAACTTTATAAAGTAATCTGCACACTATCAGTTACTCAAGTCCAATGTGAGAGGACATTTTCAAAGCTAAAGATCATAAAGACAAGGTTAAGAAATTTGCTTTCTGAGGAGAATTTCGAATCATACATGATGCTATCCATTGAAAAGGAATTGTTAGATAAATTGGATGCAGAAGCAATTATTTGCAGAAAACCCAATATATTATATATATATATATATATATATATATATATATATATACACACACAACAAGTATAGGATTGGTGTATATGGAATAAATTCCAATAACCAAAAATACTATTCTTAAAAGAGTGCTCAATACAGAGTAGAGCAAATATAATTTATATGAAAATTATAACATAAACATGTTATAAAATCACTACAAAAATAGCCATTTTGTTTCAACACTTCTGGTGTCTTATCAAGTGATGGTGTTGAATATATATATATATATATATATATATATATATATATATATATATATATATATATATAATAGGCTGTAATAAAATTTGAAGAATAAAAAGCCAACAAAATGATAGCAATATTGGCAATAAAATTGATATTTATTTCATATTAACCTTTTGACTGAATTGGAACACAAAAAGATAGATTTTAATGTTGGAATTTTTGAACATGCCTGTGTTCTTTTTCAATGGTACAAGGAATAAACAAAGAAGTTGGACATACTCTTCCAAGGAATGATGTTGTTGGTTAGATGTTCCCTAGTGAAAATTATACTCTCTGAGTAAACCCAAATCTCTGTTTAATCCAACAATTTTTTAATTTATTTTGAAAATAAATTTCAACTCCGATCTGCATCTTTCTTGTCAGCTGTTGAATGTGTGCTAAAAGCATGCATCTGATGTCATCGACACTATGAAATGGTTGGTTGAAGTGTACTGCGACAGGAAAATTGTTGTTGCTGTCCCTGATGGGTTTTTATTATTGAACCAAAGATTGAATTCCATTGCAGTTTCTCCAACATAATTTCCTTTTTATCATTTGTGCCAGAAAAGCATATTAACCAGCCTATTAAATCTACATATTGTAAGAAGCACACATGGACCACCTTTCGTTTTAATTATATATATATATATATATATATATATATATATATATATATATATATATATATATATATATATTTTGTTTGAATAAAAGACAGACCACGTTAAGATTCCATGTAATAAGCTATTTCCCCATAACCCCTTTAACAGGGTTCTGGATCATCAGGCTTTACTTCCAAAAGCTGCAGATGTCATTTTTCCAAATATGATGTCATTTTTTTCATAATACGTAATCAAGTCATAATCTAAGAATCTTATAACGTGTTTTACTGTACATAAAGTAGGGGATCAGTTTTCTGTTGTTATTAAGCAACAAACTGATCACTCAGAATTACATAACTGGAAAATTATATTTGAAGTCACGTGATAACTTTATAATAAATAATAGTAAGGACTAAAAATGTCATTATTTTTTTTGACAGTAGAAAACGGGTAATTATTCTTTTGAACATAAAGTGGGGAAAAATTTCCTATTGTTATCAAGTAGTGAACTGATCCCCCAAAGAATTATGTTTTCATTGGAAAAATATATTTATACACCCACATGCTGTGGCCATATTACGTTAAACTGGTTCTCGTACGATCCCCAAAGTTAAACAACGTCGAGCCTCATCAGTACCTAGATGGGTGACTGCTTGGGAATTAGGTTGTAAGCTTGGATGTGCGGGGGGTGTAATGGTTAATGGCTCGGAATTGTTAATCGGAGAGCCGAGTTCCAATTCCAATTGTGTTCGTTATAATATTCAATTACGTGGAAATGCCCTTGGGAAATCCACCTATTCCCCCCCCCCGCTATGGGTTAAAAATTAGTAAGATTTGTATCATTAAAATAAAAAATTCTTATTTTCTCAATTTATAACCTTCAACGTGTTGGTAAAACGTAGAAAATGAGTAAAGAATAACAAACAGTTTTTAACACCCACATGTTTTTAAACAGATCGTGACAGCTTTTTAGGGAGAAGTGATTGTACTTTAAATAATGTTTAAAAAAAATTATTCAATATTGTTTAAGCAATAAACAATATATCACAAAAATGCGTATATTGTGGAAAAAGGAATTTTCGACAGTTGAGTATACGTTTTTTTTACGTATTTTTATGTTTATCTTTTTAACTTTAATCAAAAAACGACATTCTTGTCTTGTACATATGGATAATATTAATTACTAATTTATTAATTAATAACTATTTGTGATCAGTTGTTCACATTAGCTATCTGCTGATTTGTTAAAATTTTGCAATAATGCAATAATAAAAATTTAAATTTCATCTCTGATAGAATGTCGCGATCTGTAAATAAACTAGTAAGGGTTTTGACAAAATATGCCGTCACTTTTGACAGTACAAGTAAACTTTTAAAATCCATATGTTATGAAGGTTGGTTGAATGCTGCAGTGAAAAAGTAAGACGTAGCAAGTATGGTGAATGTTTTAAGTTCCTATGAGTTTCAAATAGATGCACCAAGATGATTTTTTTTTTTATTTTAAAAAAGAAATTCTTTACTTTACTTTGATCCATGAAAATCATTCTTGCATTATTTAGCATTATGCTGTAAAGGATAAATTACTTTTTCGTCTTTTTTTAAGCCGCATCATTGATTGAAAAATACTGAATTTCTGGCCGTAATTTTAAGGTGAAGAAAGTGGTGTGAAATTATGAAAAATATTAATTTTAAAAACTTAAACAGTAATTACTAAAACGCCTCTGAAGTAAAAAAATAAAATAAAATAATTAAAAAAACGTTTCACATAATTAAGTTTATGGCTCATAATTGCCATGAGAATTGAGGGGAAAAATCCTAATGCATACATACACATAGAAAATAATACATTAATGACTTAAATCATAAATGTTTCTAATGTAAATGTTTTCCTTTTCATCAAGCGTAAATGAGTAAACTGTAAAAATATTTAAAATTGCTATCAAATAAATTTGGATGAGTTTGGTTGTTGGCTTCCTTTTTGAAAATCTTAGGCATTCAATTTCAATTTCTAGTTTATAAATCTATTTTTTAGCTAGCATAACTAGCAAAGAACGAAAAAAACCTTTTCCAATAATTAACAGAATCGGATTGTCATTTTAACATTGAGTTGTTTGTTTTTTTTGGGTTTTTTTTTTGTTTTTTTTTTAGACATATACGCTTTTGCAGCCCCTGCAGCCACAAATCGCATGGAAGATAACAAAGATGCAAATAAAAAACCCCCAAAAAACATCGAAGCAATGTATGGACTAAAAACATCGTGAAATAGTGGATTTTTAAACATTTTTTTATGCTGATTTTTCTGATTGAAAACTTGAGAGTTTTTTACACTACAGGCGGTCTATTCAAATGCCATGATTCAAATTTTTAGGCACCAACATTATTAAAAAAAGTAAAAAGAATTAAACAGTGAATATAAAATAATTTACGATAAACTAGTTTGTTTGCAGAGTGGATAAAGGCTTTTTAGTTAGATCCAGTGACAGGACCCAAAGAGTGTGAGTTCAATACCTGGTCAAGGCGGTGGAGAACTTGGAGAGTGGAATTAATTAACAGGAGATAACTGATAATTGACATCCATTTAGACATGACACGTGGAACGAGAACAGTCTACCCCAGTGAGCGAAATAAAGGGTTCAGTTCAACATTCCAACCACCTGAAGAAGGCCATACAACAGCCGAAACGTTGTGATAAATATGGCAACAAAGATGAGGAAAATAGTTCGAATTATGTAAATAGTGTATATAATACCCCATCTCAGAAATATAGACAGTTTGTTTATTGTTCTTTTTCTTTCTATCGAGAGGAGAATATAAAAAAAAATTATATCTACTTTTAATTATGTGTCATACTTGATATTTGAATTTTTTGTTTGTTTTTTTTTTTTTTTACTGTTCTATTGTTTTTATTTATGGGAATGAAATTAAATGTCTGATTCTTTCAAATTTCAAATCGGAGTTTAGAGTTTTGTTTGTTTTTAAATGCGCCTTATTCAGTATTCTAGATAAGATAGGTGACGCTCTCACGTCTCCCTCACTCTCCGAAAAAATCCTTTTACCACAGACTTCCTAAAAAAAACACCGAAAAACGCATTTTTAAGACTCAAAATTTTGGCATAAAATTGTCACAAAATGTTATTGGTTCTTGACGTTTTGTATTAATTAAATCGAAAACACATTTTTCTTGACGTTGATTTTAAGTTTCCAGACGTACAATCTAACAATCTCGTATTACAACTAATATTACGTTATCTTCAATTTTTCGCTAAAAAAGAGCATACCCTGATGGGAAAAAAGCTCCAAACTTGATAAACAATTTTTTATCGTCTAAATGTTTGTTATTAGAGGAAAGACCAAAGTATTTTTAATATTTTTTTTACATTTTTTTAATCCTTCCTAGCACATCCAAAATTTCAGTTGAAATTTTTTTTTTTTTGAGTCAGCAAAATTGCCATTGATCATGTCAGCCATTTTTGACAACTTTATAAAGCAAAAGTGAAATTCTCCGTTTAAAAATCCTGTAAAATTTAATTATACTTTTTTATTTCAAAAGTTATTTTGGGAAAATTAGAAAATTTAAAGTATAATGTAATTGTAAACAAACATTACTTAATTTTTTCTCAGAAAAAAAAATTGTTGAAAATAAGAGGAGCATGTCTAACTGGTGATTGATTTTTTTTTTTTTTGGTGTGAATTGACATTTACGTCAGGCCGATTTATCGGACGGACGGGCAGAAGTGACAGTATTTTCGAATTTTAAATGAACCAGCTTATTCAACTATAAAAGTAATTTTAAAAAATTAAATACTTGGAAAAGTCTAATATTTTATTGATTTTTTAAGGTATTTTTTTAAACGAAGAACTGTTTCTGTCCCTTAAATCTTTAAAAGAAAATAATTAATAATTGCAGTATAGCATTTTGTACAAAAGTATAATAGCGTCAATTCAGTCAATTGCTAAAAAAAAAAAATATGTAAGTTTTTAACACGATTCTTAAAGTACTAATTTTTGCGCGTAGTTTTAGAAAGAAATGGATCGGTACAGAATTTGAAAACCCAACACCTCCCTTGTTTTCTTTGGAGGATTCATTTCATATGTAGAGTCGATATATGTGTGCGTGTGTAAGTAGGTATTTATCCGCGCGCCCACGTTGTGACATAAGGTCATGTGTAAGTATATTTAAGCAAGGATTATTTTATTCTATGTCACAATGAAATTCAATCCAAGCGAACACACACACGCATTTATAAATTTTATTACTTAGTTACCACCAATCCAAAGATAAGCTAAAAAATTAGCATACCGTGTGGAAAAAATGCCCCAAACTTAATAAAAACAAAGTTTTATCGTCTAAATCTTTATGTTATTATTAAGAGGAAAGATCAAAGGATTTTTTTTTGATTTTTAAATTATATTTTTTGATTTTTTTTAGAACATAACATTTTGGCTAAAAATCTTTTTCTTGCGTCAGCTGGGGCCTTGAGGATTAGGAAATTTTAGCGTCTTTTTTGCGGTGAAAAACATTAATTTGGAAATTCTTGCAAAAATCAAATAATTATCGAATTTTCACGAAAATTTCAGGACTTATTCACAAATTAATTAAGTTATTTAAGTTAAACATTATTTTTAGCGGATGCCCATATTTGAGTAGAGGCTCCGTTTATTTATTAAACAGTACTATGTATATTTTCGTCTACCGTCCTGAATATTCGAGAAACATGATTTTTCGAATTTTCAGGCTGGGAGACGAAAATAAATAAATATACTGTTTAATAAATAAACGGAGCGTCTACCCAAATATGGGTAACGTTTAAAGTGATAAAAATCTGTCGGATTTAATTAATAAATAAAAAATCCATCAGTTTAGAAATCACATTCATAGGCACGCACATATGCTGAGTTTTTTTCCCCTTTAAGTTTTAGAATGATTTTTTTTTCCTTTGATGTGTCCCTTCATAAAGCTTGTGATCATAGCTCTCCATAACTTCCTTTAATTTTTGACTCTTATCACCTCTCTTCGTCCCCGCTCTATCCACATAGGTTGGTTACTATTTGTTTCCTTGTACTCCTCCTGCCTTCCCTATGTGCTGGGAGTGTTAAATTATCCAAGCCCTCTTTCCTCATTATGTGTCCCAGAAATTTCTGTTGTCTTTTTCTGATGTTAAGCATAAATGCACTTTTTGTTACAAATTTTCTTTGAAATTTCATTGTTGCTCAAAATGGTATTGTAATGTAGTCACTAAGCAGACCAATAATAATACAAGACTTGTATTTAACATTAAATTTGACTCTATTCTGTATTTTCTTATTTAATTTCAGCCAATGTGTATGAGTGCCTCGCATTTAAAACAGTGGCCTTACAGTCTCATCTGCAATTTCTGAAAGAGTCTGTTATTCTCCGATCTGGGGTTTTGGTTTGGTTTGGTTTGTTTTACAGCATATCAATTTCAATGGATTATTTAATGCCAACAAAATTTTCATTGCTGGTAATATTTTTTTTCAAAAATATATTGCTGGCAATAATCCTTTCCTTCAAAAATTTATTGCCCATAATATTTTTTTTTACAAAGTATATCTTATATTAAAACCTGCCTTCACACACTCACAGTGCTTTGACCCCAGTTTGGGGATTAACTAACTGGTGCAACCACCCCAGGTCAGGGC